TTTTTTCTTTCGTGTAATTCAATGTTTATATGAAAGTAGCTGTTTCAGGAGGACTTTCTTTCAGTTTGTGTCTGAAAGTTACTTCTTTGCATGATCTACACATCCATGTATAGAGTTACTTATTTTCAAATTGATTACTTCCTTCCTTTCTTTGGAAGATTCTCTCATCCATTTTTTTGTATCAGATGGAGTAGTAGAAAGCCAAAAACTTTCTTTCCCAAAAATTAATCACTCCTAAAAATATAACCCCTTCAATTCAAATAATAATGATAGTTAATAATGTCGACAGGTGATTCGCCTGTTTCAATAATAATAATGGTAAAATTACTGTTGGCATTCAACGTTGCAAAAAAATCAAGATCACATTTTCAAAAGTGGATATTTGTGTTTCGTCAGCTGAATGAAAAATAACTTTGACTAAAGTTGACTCATTCAAAATAACCAAATATGTTTTCTGAATCCTATCTTTATGCTAATATCGTTAATCTGAATGAATATTTGAAAACTCAAGTGATTATCAACTGAGGATATTATAAATACCATTTTGTGACTGCAGTTACTACAAAAACGTCCCAAGTATAAATGAAGTCTGATGATTTAGATTAAGTAGATGTAGCACAGTAAAAGGTTCAACTTATAAACAAGAGAACGCCTCTTTTGATGATTTACTATCTAGCTGATGAACCGTGTTAGGAATCACACGTTAAAAGGTAAGACCTCGTTAGTCCTTAGCTCGCACAAGTTTCTCAACTTCTGAGAGTTGTCGTTCTTATGGAGGCGATAGCTGATTAACGGAAAAAGAGATTTTTAATCAGAAACAAATAAGAATTCATCAATTGAAAAAAAAATGATCCACCTGAAGTTATATATAGTTGCATCTTTTCCAGTAATTTATTGTTCACATCTTTCTTACAAAATTGACAATACTGTTGCAACATTAGGTGTTTAAAAACAGTAATTGAAATTTTTTTATAGCCTACACCATAAACCTTATCTATAGATTATTCATAATGGAGGTGTTAGTTTATGTGGCAATAGTAGATTGTAAACAAATAAATCATTCGTGTGATATCATGTTTTGAATGAATCACGTTTTTTATCAAGGTGAATTATTTCAACATGATGAGAAATTTCTTTTGTCACATATTTTAGTACTTTTCAACTTTTCCTTGTCTAAAAAGAAAGCAGAGTTTTTTAGATATTGCTTTCTTGGCATTTCTGATATGCTCATTCTATTCACGAATTTCAATGTATTTTTTCAATTTAAGCTTGCCATAACTCTGACTTTGGGATTCATCCTCTATAATAATCAAACCCATTTCTTTCATTACATGAAAATTTGCAATAAAAAAGTACAATATGTACATGATCACAAAATAGATATATGAATGATACAGAGTGCTACAAAAAACCAGTTTCTCTATTAATTGTAACTCAGTTAAGTTTCGTTTTCTGCATGAGAATAGAAAATATTATTTTGAAAAACAAACAAAAAATACAAAGCCATTTTTTGTGAAGGAAATGGCCAAACTTCTAATTCACCGCGACAACTTATTATGTAAATTAAATATTTTTTCCACAACTGTTAACCAGTTACTCGTAAGAATCACCCTGTATATACGTGGTTTGCAATACCGTAAGTTCCGCACCNACTGTGATTGAGGAAGATACTGAGTTACCATATTTTACAAATTGTTCTCTGCAGGCTAGATACTTTTCAATCCATTTCAGAATGTTTTGTTTGAATATCCAAAGCGTTTAGTTTATGCAACAACAAATTGTGGTTTACTCGGTCAAATGCCTTTGAAAAATCTGTGTAAATAGAATCCACCTGGTGTCTATTTTCGAAGGCGTTTATTATACAGTGTATGAAAAGCAAAAGTGATCGAGAACGGTTTTCAAAATTATATTCTCAACTGACTTATATAATACCTACACATCAATGACGTTCATTATAAAGATTTTACCAAAAAATCAACTTTTCCCAAAACAAATTTCTTCCAACAAACATAACCTCAGAAAAAGTTGTTTTTCCCGCAAGAGGGCGGCAAAAAGAAAAGTTACGTAGTACTTTCCCAGGGGTAGAAAGTATGACAGCTGAAACTATGATAAAAAATGTCTCTATTGAACTGAAAATCGACTTGTTTTTTGCATTTATTTTTTTGACATTTGATCTGTTACGTGTAAGGTGCCGCACACTGTATAATTTTTTTCTGGGTATCATTTCAGTCTAACATTCAAAACAGACTCAAAGTCACTTCAAGATAGATTTTCAGACATTTACTTGAATGGATGGGACTAAGTCCAACTAGTTTTTAAAGAGATTTGAGTTCTCATATTGATAATAATTGTGGTATTCCCTATTCATTTCAAGAATATCTCACTTCAATATCATTCCCAGTTCATTAGGATAACTCAGAGCATATTTTTCTAGAACCTAATCATCAACTTCCTCCACCACGGATGGCCAAAGCTTCGTAGCCAAACCAAAAAAACTTTTAGTTATATACCCCTGATACTAGTTATTAGTAAATTCTTCAAATTCAACAAAATATAGTACAAAAAACAATTATTCAAATGAATTCACATGTAACACTCATCATTGCATAATATTGCTCATGATTTTTTTATAAAGATAACCATTATAGAGTTTGTTTTTATTGCGACTATTGACAATTATTCGCAACTCTTATAAACACCAATAAATGATTAAAAAAAAACAGATACAGTGTATGTCTAATACAACTATCTCAGTTTGCGTAAATATTTTAAAATTTCATATAACATATTTTTTTTAGTTTGCCAACAAAAACTAAGAAAGAGATATTACCTTTGACTGAGATGCAATACATTCATTTATAGGGATATGGAAGTATAACAATAACAAAAATACCCACCACCAATATATCTAAGTAAATACAATTTACATTTCCTGATTCTAACCTTTTTTAGATTCATAGCTTATATTTACAAAAGACGGGCAATAAAGTTACTCAAGAGTATTCAGATAAATAGGAAGCAGATCACTTATTACTTGTAAAAAAACGATAAAGTTAAAACAATAATATTTCACTATTATACAGGACAAGTCTGGATAAATTTCATTTCTATATAAGTTTCACAATGGGGAATGTTTATGGAGGCGATAGCTGATTAACGGAAAAAGAGATTTTTAATCAGAAACAAATAAGAATTCATCAATTGAAAAAAAAATGATCCACCTGAAGTTATATATAGTTGCATCTTTTCCAGTAATTTATTGTTCACATCTTTCTTACAAAATTGACAATACTGTTGCAACATTAGGTGTTTAAAAACAGTAATTGAAATTTTTTTATAGCCTACACCATAAACCTTATCTATAGATTATTCATAATGGAGGTGTTAGTTTATGTGGCAATAGTAGATTGTAAACAAATAAATCATTCGTGTGATATCATGTTTTGAATGAATCACGTTTTTTATCAAGGTGAATTATTTCAACATGATGAGAAATTTCTTTTGTCACATATTTTAGTACTTTTCAACTTTTCCTTGTCTAAAAAGAAAGCAGAGTTTTTTAGATATTGCTTTCTTGGCATTTCTGATATGCTCATTCTATTCACGAATTTCAATGTATTTTTTCAATTTAAGCTTGCCATAACTCTGACTTTGGGATTCATCCTCTATAATAATCAAACCCATTTCTTTCATTACATGAAAATTTGCAATAAAAAAGTACAATATGTACATGATCACAAAATAGATATATGAATGATACAGAGTGCTACAAAAAACCAGTTTCTCTATTAATTGTAACTCAGTTAAGTTTCGTTTTCTGCATGAGAATAGAAAATATTATTTTGAAAAACAAACAAAAAATACAAAGCCATTTTTTGTGAAGGAAATGGCCAATCTTCTAATTCACGGCGATAACTTATGTAAATTAAATATTTTTTCCACAACTGTTAACCAGTTACTCGTAAGAATCACCCTGTATATACGTGGTTTGCAATACCGTAAGTTCCGCACCACAGAAGCCCCATAACCCCACGAAAAAAAAAAATAGAAAAAGAAAACAGAACATTACTCAGTAAATGCCCATGCGTATCATCAACCTCGACCAAAGAGGGCAGCAGTCTCTAGAATTGTCCCCTCTAGGCGGTTTGTTAGTCATGATCTCTTCGACATACTGACAGGGACAGATCGCCGAGTTGATATGCCTCGGATTCGATGGGTTACCCATCACTTCGTCCAAAGTCCAATCTAATCTTCGCCTCAGAAAATCTTTGCCCCACCTTTGTGAGTACCTCAGGAACAACAGTTCGGCCTGACCCTACATCAATAAAAATGTTTCAGGAGAATCACTTTTCCCGAAGGGTATGGGAATCTAGAGCAGGGGAGAGTTTTCTTCTGGCACTATTAAGAGTTAGCCTGAATGACTCACCTGTTTTCTTGACAATCTCGTCGTCCTGCTGCCCTGTATAACGATATCATTAGCAGTGATATCCATTCTCTGTTCCCATCCGTTGGCTTGGTCTCGCTCTTGTTGCTCTACACTGGCATGCAGCTGAGCTATGCAGGGGGCGGAATCCATGTAGATGAAACACAGAGTGACTTTGTGACAGCTTATTTTCCCTCGATCATCCAAAGCTAAAGTAAAAATCATTTACATGATGAATTATCATTAAATTTCATTTATGATGTTCTTATTACCTGTGGGAGATCATAAGTTCATATTAATTTTCATGTAACATCTAGAGGGCGCTGTGTATGTTGTCATTATTTATTTCAAATGAAATAAACTACGCAGCACCCTCTAGATGTTGAGTGAAAATTAATAAGAAATTATGATTTCCTACATCAAAAAAACCCCGGGTACCAAATTTCGTGGAAGTAACTCAAACACCCTGTATATGACTTGCTATAAAGTTTACAAAGTTATCATTCTGATATTTTTTAATTAAAAAATTTCACACTGAGTCCATAAAAGAAAAATATCAACTCACCTATTACGATTTTGTGTCTCAACAAGTGCTTATTTACGTTGGCCAAACATTTCTCCAGGTTCCTTTGCAATCGAAATTTCAAATATATCGACAGAAAAATGGCAGCAGCATTCAGAAACAGCCAACCTATACCTAGACCGAAAAGAGTAAGACCCGTTAGACCAGAGAAAAGCAAACCAAGTAGGACCAGAAAAGCTACCGTTATCCAGACCACCAACACTCTCTTGTAGCAGATGTTGTACATTGAGAAACGAACATCGTTCACTAACAGTTCCAAGGCTTGAACGTATTCTTCTACAGTTAACTGAGAAAGAAAAAAGAGAATGTATTTCTGAGCATTTTGTAGAAAACTGTTATTATGTATCAGATATGTTCTAGAAATTTCCAGTTATATAAACTCATTCACATTTTAATGTCTCATGAAACCCAAATCCTATGAGGCGAACATACTGATTTTTATACTTACAGTTAGCCCCTGGGCCATTAGCTCTTCAGGCACTAACTCCGGACGGAATTGAGCTGGAGTAATCCAAGGAAAACGTGCATTGACTGGAAGTAGGGTGACAATAATATCCCCATTCGCTGAAAACCTAACATATAGAACTTGTTCAGGTGAGCAATTAATATGTTCTTACAGAATCCCTGTCTTATGGGCTCCACAGTTGCCACTGGTAGTTCCACATTACGAAGAGGCTTAGGATTTAGAACAGCCACATTCGGGCTGTCCAGGGACTTGCTCAGACTTCTTTCTAAATTTACTTGGACACTTTCTGTCGTTATGACAGCCGGCGAATTTTTCTGTTCCGACGCATCCTCTTCGAATTTGACCCAATTTTGGGGCGAAGGAGGTTGGGGAGTTGGAGAAATAGAGATATCTTGATCGTTTTCTGTTTTTTTTGGTGTAGTGCTATCACTCATTTTTACGATTTGGATTTATTATATTTATGGCAATGTTCCTTTGTAAATGATAATCACATAATTAAAAAAATATATACAAATGTAAGGTACACTGACACCTCCTGCACCTACTTTCTGTTTACTTTTATGTGATTTCTTTTTTTAATATTTCAATATTTTCTATTTCCACAGTGTTGTCTATTGTTCTGGGAGAATAATTTGGGGAGAGAAGAGCTGTCTAGAGACAGCATATGCCTCTCAGGATAAGGTTTACCTGATATTTAACAGCTGGTCTACTGCGCTGAAGGGAAGCACAGACCATAAAAAAAAAGAGAAGAAGAAGGTACTTTGGTGGATTGGTGAATTAATGACTTTGTCAATGAGTTGACCATTGTGGGCTCCACCTGTAGTAGCAACATGATCCTGGAACTCCTGGCTGGATAGCCCTGGCAGCTGAAGCCATTAATGGAAAAAGAAGAAGAAGAACCACAGAACCTTTCAGAAAGAGCACTCACCATAAAAACACAAACCATGATATTTTTGAGAATCTTGAGAGTTGTATTGTCAACGTAAAAATTTCGTCGAGTTGTTAGTGAACTTGAACATAGTGAAATTAAGCTAGTTTGGTGGGAATTGTTGAAACGTTGGCCCAAAATCCCGTCGACATGACATCGTAATGATTCCTCGATAGCAAACAGAATATATAAGTGATTAGATACATATAATTCGAATTACCGCTAAAAATGACATTAAACACCTCGAACACAGAATATACGTCACAGAAACTTGACAACTCAACATCTGACTACCTTTTTTGACAGAAGCTTGATGATTAATATCGAGAAGATTCATTGATATAATATCGTTTACATTGACAGACCTGGGGAAAACTAATATTATTCAAATCAGAATCAAATAAGTCTGAAGACTGTATCGAGGAGAGATACATACGTATACTAACATAAATATTTCGAAATGGAATTGAAACATTCATCTTCCCCAACGTCAGCTACATAGTATGTTCTGATAAATACCTGCCGGAAAATATCTACTTTTCTGGCTCATACTACGCTGGATAGTGAATAATATCCAACATACATTCATGCAAGATATTTCACAGATAGCCTTGCAGTTTCTCATTCATCCACCAGCAGGACCATGCTGAAATCAGTCGAGTAGATCACTTACTGACCGGTTTCGAAGTGTCACCTCTCATCAGTGCAGGAAAGATCCGACCCAAAAACAGTGTGCTTGAGACTCGATTATTTTCAACGCGGCTTGACTGTATGTATGAAACCTTATTCTGAAGGAAGATTGTTAACTAGTAACAGTTCCATCTTTTGAACACAGTCTCAACCGGAGAAAGGATATTCTATGTACTGATACTCTAATAGAAATGAAGTGAGCCTGAAAACTGTATCAGAACCTACTGTGTAGGTACAATGGGAGAGATGAATGTTTCGAGATTCCATTTCGAAATATTTATTTTCTCATGTGTATGTATTTCTCTCCTCCAATCAGGTTAAGAATATTTGTTTTGAAGATATGCATAGAAGTTTCTTTTTGAAACAAACTGGATGAAAAAGCCCTTTCTTAATTTCCTCAAGTTTTGAAGTGCCATCTTGCGCATATTTTTCACTCCAGTCAAGTGTCATTCTTCTGTTCTTCAAAGTTCAAATTGGTAGTTGTGAGTGTCGTCTGTCAAACGTGCTATTTTTTTGTATGGTCAAACAGAATAAAATATAAGGGATGTAAGACTTGTGTTTTGTTAAACTATTTTATTATTCTTAAGTGGTTGTTATTAATTGTTAATGATTTGATTTGACACTCGTGCTGATTAAAGTATTCCAATGGAAAATCAAGGTATTGGTTATTTTACTTGATATTTATTGTTTTTAGTAATTTATATTTTTCAGAACCCAGAAAGTTCAAACTGAGGAGACTTGTGCCTATTCATACTCAAAGGCATGAAGATACAAATGGTAAGCATGGCTGCTTTGAATATGTAAAATCTGTATATCTAACTAATAACCTTATTTTCATCTCTGACTTTTCACCTCATTTTACTGACAGTATTTTTATAGTATGCAACTTCTTCTATATCGTTTACAGGGTTCAACTTCATTTCGTTACAATTTCTCAAACTGTTTTGTCCAACAAGAAAGGTCACTGTTGAACTTCCAGTATTTTTGATGGACTACTTCAAAAGTTACTATCTCTTCCTCCCTTTATGTTACAACTGTACTGCAGTGAAGGATGTTTGAAGTGTAGTTCTAAGATGAACATTCACCCATTGACCCCCATATCTCACACAATTATTGTTCTTTCCCCTACATTATATTTTACAGAATCAATCATTAGTAAAAACTTGGAGCCCTTGAAGCAGAACGTTGAAAAGAAGAAAAGGGCCCAGGAGATATATTACGAAAATCACGCAGAAGAGTTAGGTGCAAGTCCGTTGCTCAGAGATTTGGGTAAGAAACCCGTTAAACAGCGATTAGGTCGACGGGTACCTTTTCCAGGTACAAACACATCTGCTATTCCTCCCAAGCAAAGGTTGAAAAGGTAATTATTGTTATTTGAATGCTGAGTTATTAAATATAGAGTTGTTGATTGAAAAATGCCATAGATATGAATTGAACCAGTGATCTTGATGGCTTTACGAGGTTACTTACAAATTCATATAATATGTATATAAAGCTACATATTTGAGTTTCAAACCAATCTCAATTTGTTGTCGAGGAACCTTTCAAATTTCTTCTGGGTTACACTACATTACTTTTTGCATCAGCCGTACGAAAAAGCAATTGAAATGATTCAGTTTGAATATTATAAATACGTGATTCGACCCGAAAACATAGATGGATGAATGGAAAAAATAAAATTTTCCATCTCTTCCTTTCTAATTCATTCTACAAAGTACAATAATACAAAAACAAAGGTTATTGAAATAAATTCCTGAATACTGACTAAGCACTACTGAATAATACTAATGGAAATAATAAAACTCAAGGAGTTGAATTCTGTGAGATCATTTCAGAACGTGTCAACCGTAACCAAGCTTTGTTGTACACATTTTTCATATGAACGTGTCTCTTTTCTGAGTAAATAGTCAAGATTTCAGATATTGGAGTGACTCAAATCCCAATATGGCACACTAAATGCAAACTAAATGTTTGGACAGAAATTTATAACTTGCAGCAACATTTTATGATGAAGTTTTATATTTCAAAGCGATTCACTTATATTTATTATTATATGTATTTTTGTATATTCATGTTTGAATTGTATTCATATATTGAATGTTGAACTTAGTGGCATTGCCTATTTTTACAAAATAATTAACAAATTCACACATATGTACTATAACTATCAGCTAGATGTAAGGAAAAAAAAAGGGAAAATGGGCCAATCCATTACGTGTTCACGAATTTTGTGANAATCTGTAAGCCAGAGTATTCAAGTCAAGAACGTCCAATATAGTTTTATAAATATATTCACTAATATGATATCCCAGTTTGTATGCAGAGTACCTACCTTAAAAACTTGTTTTGAACACGTACAAGTATATCAATATCCACATTATATGAAGGGCACCAAATTGTGGAGTTGTATTCGATTATTGATCTGACAATTGAGCAATACCTGATTTTTAAGGAAGAGAGAACTAATTCCTCTGCAGATTTGAGAGTGAAACCTACCATTTTTAGTGCTCTACAAGTAACATTTGCAATATGGGATTTGAATGACATTTTGGGTCAAGAGAGATTCCTAAATCTTTGATTGTATTCAGAATCCATCCTTTACTTCCTCCGCAATGCACAATGATTAGTCGCGATCCTTTGTTTGCAGGCATGTTAGGCGTACACATTATCGAACCATCAGTCCACCCTTTCGTAACTATGTTGTTAGTGTCATACCAAGATTCGTCCAAATAGAAAATTTGCCGTTGTTCTTGTCTGTGTTTAGTTATTTGTCCTAAGTATTTGTTATGCAATTCCACTATTTTCCTGCTTTCCATACCTGCTTGACGTTTGTTTATTATTTTAAATCTAAATCCTAGTTTCTTTATTCAATTCTGAAGAGTTTTGTCACAGCAGCTCACATTATGGCCGGAAGTATTCAATTTCTTCCTTATAATTTCAGTCGTAGGAATCTCATTGCTTTTGTAACAGTCCTTTATTGTTTTTTCAATGATTTTAGTAAATGAACATCTAAAGGTTTTGGTAATCCCGTATCACATTGGGTCTTGCGTTCATAAGGTTTATTTTTGACGTATTTTTTACATACAGTTGAGAAAGGAATTTCTTTCAAATCTGATGTTGCTTGTAATAGTTTGTTTCCCTAGAAACCAACTATTACAAGCAACATTGACTCTTCAGCCAATCATAAAACTCGGTTAGTAAAAATTATCCAATACGAGCCGGCAATTCTTCAGTCCACGTGGACTAGTTGACAGCGGCTTTATTTCTGTGTATTGTTTTTTTTGGCCAACACTTTAAGTATGCACAATACCAGTTACTTCGATTATACAAGGTGTAATAAAGCACAATTGAGTAAGCGATAAGTGATATATCACTTTCACTGTAATTGCTTTGTCAATAAGAAAAAAGTTGTTGGATTTTGTTTGTTTCAGGTTAAATAACACACAGAACAACCAAATAAATAAAAGGAAATCTCGGAGTAACATCGCTCAACAACGCCTCAACCTCATCAGAGCAAGGTCGAACCAGGATGCCTTATTAAGACAGAATGGAGTTAAGAAGTTCAGATTGCGACGGTTGGTACCCACTGCTCTGACAAGCACACCGAAAAACTTCAAAGTCCAAGTCAGCAACAACATTGTATCGGTAGAAAAACAACGGTTCATGACGAATGTCAAGAGATTCAAATTGTGTTTGGACCCTGAAATTCAGTTGCAGATCAAACAACTCCAGGTTATGTACCAGGGGGATAGTGTGAAATTCCCTATACAGGTCCAGCCAACAACTACGTTATTGACGATGAATCAACGTTTCGCTATGCTAAGTTAGGGAACTGTAGGAACTACGATTTTATTTTCAGTTAACAAATTTCAATTTTATTACTGATGTTGCGTCGTACAATGTTATGAAAGAAGTTAGTTTATATGAATCTTTTATTTAGGGAGGAGAATACAAGTTTATTGGCAATTGTAAATGCATCAAGTAATAAAAATCATTTTCTATAATAGTATATTTCTTCAAAGTGGCAGAGGTATTTATTGTTTAATTTTTCTGTGGCTGCCTCTAAGGGCAGCCACAGAATGATCGAAAGTGGAGTTGCGTGAGTTACCTGACATTGTAAAGGTATCCAAAAAACGTGTTGGCTTTATATATCATGAGCATTTGACTATGAGAAAGCTGTATGTCAAGTAGGTGCCGAGTGAGCTCACTGTTGACGAACAACAAGAATGTTTCGATGGTTCTGAGCAGTGTTTGGCCACAGTAAAAATCAACCAGTAAGTCCACTCCAACTACTTTCATTCATAGTTCACAAAGTTCTCGGTGACCTCGAAATGAAGTGCGGAGCCAATTTCGTTCTTTTACCATAGGCGTGCGCTCATATAAAAACGAAATTTAAGGATATTATAGAGATTTATTTATTTATTCATTCATTTATTCAGTATAAACGGGAAGCCCCTGTTTTATAATGATTGAACACAAAATTATGTAATTAGTACCCTACACAATAAAAACCAACTAAAACTGATATATAATTGCATTAACAACCAACCTAGTGAAAACACAATTAAATTGAAAATACATAATCCTTGGCCTCCTGTTTGAATATCTCCAAAAAGTTATGGAAAAAATTGAGACCTGACTCGTTAGTGGTAAGTTACTTATTACTAAAAACAATAATAACAACAGCGAATAAACTAAACACAATATCAATTTCCGACTGTTTATAACTAATCCGATGTCCGTGGGACCGTCGAATCCTTCGATACTACAGCACTGAACGTGTTGGATGAGAATCTCATCCTAAGAGCAGTTGAAGGTATCCGGCAACTCAGGCGGATCACGTGGTAAAAAAGCCTACTGGTTGTATTATTCCACTGTGATGATAAAAAGAAAGTGACGCTGCAAGATAATGCACAGTGTCACAAATCGATGAAAACAATGGCAAAATTGCACAAAATGAGCTTTGAATTGCTCCCGCATACACCATATTCGCCAGAGTTGGCTCTCAGCGACTACTGGCTGTTCACAGACCTCAAAAAATGCTCATCAGTAAGACATTTTGCTCGAAGGAAGAGGTTATTGCTGAAACTGATGTGTTAAAAAATGAAATAAATTGTATGAAAGTGTGTAGCATGCCAACAAAGGTCAATGGTGAGTCTGCTATGAGTAAAACAAGAATTTATGAGTTCTATACACGTTTCCAAGCTGGCCGTGTTGAATATGACGAACGCCTCGGCTCATCATCAGTTGATTAAAACGCTGAATCACAATTAGAGAATTCGCTGATGATTCCCATGACGCATACTGATAAAAACGCCCGGATTTGTGGCTTTTGCACCACATTAATGAACCTGTTCACACAGCATCCATACTCGCCAGACATGGATCCGTGTGACTTTTTCCTATTTCTATAAATGACGGGAAGTTTTTTTACAAGCATATATGACATTAAAAGTGCACAGCCGAGAGAGCTGAAGGTTACTCCCAAGATTGAATTGTAGAGGCGTTTTGATTGGAAGAATCGTTGGCACAATATCCGATGAGGGATATTTTGAAGGCGACAACATTGATGTAGACAAATGAATATTTTTTCAAAAAACGAATATTGCCGCTATTTTCTAAATACACCTCGCAACAGTTTTTTGTTTCAAGAATAATAGCCATGTTCAGAGGCATTATTAAGAAATACTTTTAAATTATGCCCGGCATACACGATGAATTTCGTGATATGGAAGAACGTGTTGAAGGTTTTTTCTCTTCTGAATATTGATCTGCAACTTTCTCGATAATCCATATTGAATGAAAGTCTATTTTTTTATGTGCTTTGAAGATTCCTGAAAATTTTCTCGCTCTGGTCGCAACTATTTTATAGCAAAGTACGCTTCATTTAAATTTAAACAAATACAATCAATATGACCTTGAAGTCATAAAAACTCTGTCGAGCGAACGCAATTTGAAGCTGAATCCTAGCAAATGCCATATCATGTTCTTCGGCAACATAAACCAAAGACAATATGCTAAAGATCATATGGAACTCAAGATAGGCGACCAAATACTCAAATCGGTTGACTCTGCAAAAAACTTGGGAATCACGTTCGATCAAGATTTAAAATTCAACGCACATGTAAAACAGCTTATGATCAAATCCTATGCCACTCTCAAAGTTCTCTATCCATATAGACAGAGCTTGTCCTTTAGCACAAAAAGCTACTTTGACAATCGCTTATCCTTTCAAAAATCAACTATGGAGACCCTGTCTATGGTCCCGTCTTGGACTCCGCTATTCAATACAAAATACAACGTGTGCAAAATTCTTGTGTTCGCTTCATTTTGAGAATACGTAAATTTGAACATATTTCCCAAGTTCGTGCCAACCTTGGTTAACAAAGAGGTTAGAGCTTTATCCTTTCAACCTTCGAACTAACGAAAACTTACACATCCCTCGTCATTCGTCAGCCATGTTCAGAAAATCATTTTCCTTCCTTGCTGTATTTTTTCATAATACGATTACTAAGGATCTCATTCTCGAAATCCACATTCAAAAAGAAACTAAAAGCAAAATTCAATATGTGATCAGAAGAATTAAATGTATACATTAAACTATGATCTTGTTGTATACTTCTAACAATTCGTTTCATCACACAATCTATTTTTATTTGGTCCAGTTATTTTTAATTTTTTTCTTATAATGCATATTAGGTTAAGTGTAAGAGTAGCTAATAGCTAAACTTCGCCTATTATGTAATATTAAATACTGAATAAAGTCGATTATTATTATTATTATTCTTCTGTTTCCAATTTAGATTTGACTCAAGATAAGTTCTGATGAATTTCACTTCATTTTCAGGTTCAACAATTATAGAAATATCTTTTGTAACATGTTTAAAATAGCATTTTACTGAAATTGATTTGGGGGTTGAGAACGAGAATGGGTCCTCCAATAGGGATTTCCCTATCTTGTTGTAACTACATCTGTTATATTATTTGTCACTTATTCAGTCTTTTTTGAAATGTGGTGGGTGAATTTGAGTCCACTGGTTCAGTAAACGATATACCACCACCCGTACGTCGACAAAACGCCAGACCTGCCGAACGCATCGCCGCTGTCTGTGAGAGTGTGCAGGAGAATCCCAGGCAGTCAATTTCACGTCGCTCATAAGAATTTTGCGTCGTGACTTGGGCCTGTGTACAAAATTCAACTGACCCAGGAACTGAAGGTAAACGATCATAGATAACGACGTGTGCTGCCTGAATAAGTTCTGGAGTAGTTAGCAACTGGCCTTAATTTTTAACAAAAAAACATCTCTGGCGATGAGGCCTATTTCTGGATGAATGGGTTCGTGAACAAATTGTCGAATTTGGTACCATACGAGATCCACACGAGATCCAACAACGTCCAATGCATCCCGAAACAGTGACTGTTTGGTGTGGATTTTGGGCTGGCAACGTCATCGATCCACTCTAATTTTTCAGTTGCAAAAACATCCTATCCTTATCTTTGATCAGTATCTTATCAGATACGATATAAATAATGAAACTAGCTTACATGTTTCAATGTTATACACACCTAACCATGTGTGACACTTTAAAATTTTTCGGAATCTTAGGATTCTTGGTGCTCACTTCTGCTCAGCCTAGTCTGAATCAAAGTGCCTCTTGCACGATATCGAAATTTTCTGACGTGTCTGCGGTTCTCAGTAGATGTACTGATATTGTCGTTTCCAATCTGACAGTGCCCGGCGGAAAAATACTGGACCTGGATCTTCAGAGTGGCTCCACTGTTACATTCGAAGGAACTACCAAGTTTGAACATGCTCTCTGGGCAGGACCTCTAGTCAGAGTTAAAGGAGAGAAAGTTTTAGTACAAGGAGCAACAGGTAATTTGATCAAACAATAAAGAAAGAAGTATTTCAGAGTATTAATATTTTCCAGTTTTTCTAAATAGTAACATTTGACATGTACCTATCAGAAACAAATTTGAATATTCTCAGATATAATCATCTATTCTTGAAATAACTAACCACGTTACTTTAACTGCCTTAAAAAATAAGATTTTCGTTTTTTTTTAATATCTGAACGATATATTTCTTGGTTACTGGATGGAGGTGTTATTCATGCACTCGAGATTGCCAGATTTATCTCCAATGGATTTCTTTACGCAGAGACAAGTGAAGAGTTGAATGCTATCAATCCTTTGCTGCTAGTGAGGGCATATTGTCGTGTACTCGAGAAATAATATTCAAAATTTTGAACTCATTCACTCAAATAGAGTTTAAGGCTCTTCTTGAGACCTTGGAGAATACTTTAGCCCTTCCTTTTTACCAATCGTCCTCATAGAGGAAACAGCACTATTTTAGTGTAATCAGATAGTGTCATTTGATTCGTTTGTAAACATGAGAAAACATGATTGATAAAACGTCATAGATCGGGATCATCTTGATTTTTGGATTCTGTACATTGCACTTTTATATTTTTTTACAACTTACATAGGTAGGTACTTAATATTGATGTTGGGATATGTCATGATCTTGCTGCAATTTGATAAGTAATTTTTGATTTGATTGACGTCTATAAGTGTCCTCTCACTTCTATTAACTGTTCATTAGTTGGTTCTATTCCAACATTCAATAAAATATTAGGTTTTACACCAATCAGTGGCTTATCCAAGGAATTAGTTAAGGAAAGTAATAAAATGGAATTTTTTATTGAATTCAAATTATTATAAAATTCCATACGATATGAGATAACAAATTGTAACTAAACATGAAATCTCCTTGTCTGTGTGGGCGAAATATCGCCGATTATTTAGGCAACCAGTAATTCATTGATTCGGAAACCATTAATGGTAGTAGTAGTAGTAGTAGACTTTATTTTAGGGATCCTAATATACAATATATAGTTATGCATACATGAATAATTTATATACGTATATAATTGTACAGTGCGTCATGTATTACAATTTGATATATTCTAATAATAACTTTTTGAGTACTTTTAAGGAATTTACATGTTTTATTTCATCAGGTAAGTTATTGAAACTATCTAAACCTTTAAAGAACAATGAATTCATTTCACTCTTATAGTTTGTTCGAGATCTATAAAATGTATTACATGTTCTTGAGTTATATGAATGAATGTCACTATTTCGAACTAAATATCTGCTAAGATAGGCTGGTGGTATCAGAGAGTGCTCAATTCGAATAATACAAAAACCCGGGTTAATATTCGCCTACATATTCACATATGGCACCCCCATGGATCACCCTATATTGTTTCGCATTAACAGATACTCCATGATGAGCAGATTTCAACAAAGTTTAAAACATATGGTCTGAGTCTACAGAAGATGAGCTACAAATTATAAATCTGATGACTGGACAATGAGAAGAAAAACTTTTCTATAGTAAATGTTCAGAAATGTTTCTACCAACGTCCATACAATGGTACAAACGAGCTTCCATTGCCGCTTTTACATGGTTGAGAATCTCGGGAGTTATTTCTCTGCAATGCCTCATGATATTCTCTCTCAAATCTTTTAATGTTGTTGATTCTATCTCATACAATTTAGACTCCAAATGACGCCATAAAAAGAGATCTACAGGAGTGAGATCCGGAGACTTTGGTGCCCATTCTATAGGACCTCTTCTGCTAATCCAGCAACCAGGAAAATGATCATCCAAAAATTGTCGCACTGGAGCTGTATAATGAGTAGGTGCACCATCCTGCTGAAAAACTAATTCGTTTGCGAATACATTTGTATCCTACTTAATTGCCCTATTGATGCACGGTATTATTTGATTCTCCAACATATCCAAGTATTTATCACTAGTCAAATTATCATCGATAAAAAAAAAGGTCTTATGATGTGGTAACCTAGAATTCCTGCCCAAACATTAAGTTTTTGAGGACGTTGGGTATGAACTTGACGGTATAAATGAGGATTCGTATCACTCCAATATCGACAATTTTGCTGATTCACCTCTCCATTCAAACTAAACGAACATTCATCTGAAAAACAAATTTTATACAAGAAATTCTAATGCACGTTGATCCGTTCAGTGTGAGACTTTCACAAAACTCGATACGTCTATCGAAATCATCTTCGTTCTATTCATGAACTAGTCTAATCTTGCATGAATGGAATTTGTACAAATGAAGGATCCTGAAAACATCGATTTCTGATTCTCGAGATAACTTAGTAAGAGATCGCGAATTTTCCATTAGTCCAAGGTGCCCTAAAACTGCAGTACAAATAGCTTCATCGTTAACAACTCCTGAGCGGTTATGCTTTTTATTGTTAACAGGTCCAGTTTTTATAAATTTGTTCAACAATTCCGAAACGTATTTGTGTCGTACATTTCTTCCAGAATGGAAATTGTGCTAGAGCAAAATCTGGTAGTACAAACTCACTATTTCAATCTGTTCCCGTAGTGTAACTATAAACCATTGCTTCTCAAGAATTCACAAAAACAGAAACACCAATTGTAACTTCACCTGGTAGGTAATCGTTATTGTAGAATGAGACAAAATGAAGAGAATATCGAATTCAAACCTGACCAGGTAAAATATTACCTATGAAACTTAGGTAACAGATTGTACAGAAGTTCATTCATTGTGGCTCGTTTTCAACTCAAATAATTTTAAGCTTCCAAACTATGAGCTTCAGACCATAATATATTCTACTTTGTTGAAACCTCTTCATTATGGAACATCTGATGGGTGCGATAGGGGAAGTTACATGAAATGTGAATATGTCAAAATGTGTCGCCCTGTATACTATGGTTGACGTGTTTTTCTATTTTTCATGAAACTCATTGTACCAAAAGTTATTCATGGTGGCTCGTGGCACTGTATAATTAACTTACTGATGACCTGATAGTGTGTCGTAGTGTGATTTTGCTTTCTTCGCAGGAAGCTACTCACTTTCACTTTATAAATTATCACTGTGAGACATATTTTATTTTTATTCATTTTCAAAAATTATTCATTCGATAAAACACAACTGTATACACTATAGGTATCCGAGCTCAGTGTGCTGAGAGAGATGTTTTAAAGCCGAACCAGTGGGAAGAAAATCGCACAGTCACTAGCGCATGGCAATCCGTCGCCACGGTATGCGTCGCCATGCCAGCAATCGGTGCAGCTATAGATGTTTCACATCAATAAAACGCTACTTTGAATCCTTTCTGATTTTTTTGTTTCAGTAATTCATCAACATTCTCAGAATAAATGACACATACGCTACAACTTCTTTCAGGCTCTGTTCTTGATGGTCAAGGAGCTCTTTGGTGGGACGGAAAGGGAGGATCGGTTGCAGGCAAGCCTTACTTTTTCGAAATAGATGTATCAGGAGGATCGCTATTCAAAAATGTTTTCTTGCTGAATTGTCCTCATCATTGCGTCATCATCGCAAGTTCTGACACAACTCTGACTGGATGGACCATAGATAATTCTGATGGAGATAAAGTAAGTTAGCAACATACAGGGTGAATCAAAAGTACTTTGACAAACTTCAGGAGGTGATTCCTTACAATATTCTGATATGAATTGTCCAAATAAATGAATGTCCGGAAACGTTTCGTTTCCAAGATACAGGATGTTGGAGTTTTATTTTTATTTTCGTTTTTTTCAAATAACTTTTGAAATAGTGAACTTAATTGAACGAAACTTGGTAATAGGAGGTTTTTGAGGTGTCGAATTCGAACCTGATGTTCTTATTGCTCTTACTCGTAGGAGGCGCCACCTACACGTCTTTTTATTTTTTAAAGATTTTTTGGGCGTACTTCTAGCACATTTTTCAGTAAAAAAATCGATTCCTCTATCATATCTACGTAAATAAGCTACCCTTGTTACTAGTCGCTGTAAGCAACCGTTTTCTATATATTGTATAAGTTTGAAAATGTCCTTATAGGACGAAACTGCAGTAACGTTAGTTACAAATAAAAGTGGTCAAAAACATAGAAAGTTTAATTTCTCTTTTCTTCATTATGATTTCCTACCACATGGTAACGGCTACATCCATCAATTAATTGATTAATTAATCATCATCTTCATCACGAACGAGTCTCTGTGATCAGCTGTGGCGTCATGGCAAAAAAATTCAGAGTGGGGACGGTTTGATACCTGACACAGCTGCACGCATTAAACTTTATCGACAAATTTTTGTTATTTCGGCTTACGGAAATCGTCAGATTATATATTTTTCGTTATCTTTGAATCATTTCCTTCAAAATGAAAAAAATTTAGCTACGCTCGAGAATGACGAAGTGACGTTATTTTTTTTTACAACTTTGCTGCCCTTCCCTTTCTTTACGTCTCAAATTGTCAGATTACTGGAATATACACTTTTTAACAGGTAATTAAGTCACCCTACCTTAATCTGACGCGCTCGAGAATTTCTGACGATCAATTTTTTTTAACTAATCTGATCCTTTATCCGTCACAGGCGGCCTTATATATGGGGCTCATATTTGGAGGAGGTACTTAACCGGGTACAAGGTATCCCCTGTATATCAATCTGCCGCGCTTTAGTAAATCCCGAAATCCCCGCTTGGTCTCCCCTATTATAAGGACACAATGTAAAATTTATTTGAAACTAGTAGATGAGGCAATATGTGAAATTAATTTTGTATAGCTATAATATTTCAATTATTAGATTCACCTTACCAATATATAAGGACACATTGTAAAATTAATTTAAGACACTCAAGAGCAGGACAGCTTTGTAAGTATGATTAGTTTCATTTTCCTCCTGAAGATGATCACTTGGTGATCGAAACACGTGTCGAGGTGTTAAAAATAACGATTTGGTGTTAGGAAAAAACTCCAGCAATATTCATTACTATACCAAAGGTGCATCACAAGTATTTATAGCTTGTAAGCCTGTAGTTCATTCTTCAATTGCATTACCACTATTGCTGACTTTTTCAGCACCAGCTGGGACACAACACTGACGGTTTCGACATCATCAACGGCCAAAACATCGTCATCACCAACTCCACCGTGAAGAATCAAGACGACTGCGTGGCGATCAACCGCGGTTCAAACATGCTTATCTCAAACTTGCACTGCTCCGGATCTCACGGTCTCAGTTTGTCCGTCGGCTTCAGCAAACACTCTTTCTCCCATAACAAAGTTACCAACGTCACATTCAGAGACTCTGTGATTGTGAATGCTGGTTCTGGAATTCACGTGAAGACGCATACTGATGGTGGGCTCGGGGAGATCAGAAACGTGACTTATGAGAATATCTATATGGCAGGTAGGAAGTTCCTTTCTTTGTTGTTATAGTGGGGAGATTGGATGGATGTGTACCGTGAGGGCATTGAAACTTGTTGACTTTTGCTTGAGTAAAGATGAGGAGTTTTTAAGGACAAGATACATAGTTAATACATAAAACAGGTTTTAAAACAGTCAGTTCCAGGAAACGCATTCACTATATATTTGAATGAATACAATGCTATTAGGATAAATGAAATTCTGATAAACGATAAACAATACTCAAAAATCTGTTTGAAAATGACATGAATAACAAACAGGCATTCAAGGAGAGCTTACTCCCAAATTTCTGCCAACGCAGTTGTCGGTTTTAAAAATTGGTGTATCCACCAACGCCGCCACAACAACTTGGCAAGCTAACTTGTGTGTTAGACCAACAGGTGGTTCCACTTATGTCTTGCTTGCGTTTACGCAGTTATTTTTATCAAGTACTCTTCTTGGTTCTTTTGTTTTCAATCGAGGACCGCCTGCCTGGTGCTGATGATGGGTACAAACTAAGCTCATCTTACATTTCAGGGATAACCAACTCTGGGATCAACATTCAGCAGGACTACGCAAACGGAGGTAGCACGGGAATTCTTAATAATAATATTCCTATAACCTCTTTGACGCTCACCAACGTGACTGGACACGTTGTAGGCAAAAAAGCTTTAAGAGTCAAGATTTATTGTGCCAATGAAGGCTGCTTCGATTGGAAATGGTCTGGAGTTGAAGTTCTGGGTGGAAGACAGAAAAACCAGTGTACTTATGAACCAGAGGGATTTTCCTGTTGAAGTTTTCTAGTTTGAACAACATTTATAGCTGTTTCGTCCGGAAAATTTCATATCAACGCTGACTGTTCAAAAAATAAGGTGTATTTTCAGTCTTCACACAACATTCATTAGCTTTTACAAGTAAAATACGACGCAAGAAGAATTTTTTCATTCATTTGCTGACCCTAGTTGCCCCCCTGAATAAAAGTGGTTCACACAAATTGACACTTACTTAAATAGCATTATTCTCTGCGTTGAGATTTAGATTGAAATCAAGTTTATTCGAGTTGTTCGTCCTTGCTTACATTTCATTGATATATTCTCTTTTATTTATTTCTCTTTTTGGATACAGTACATGCCCTGCTTTTTCACCGAATTAAATTTGGTGTGTATCTGAATATTGACCATTCCCGACGACAGCCAAATGATCCATAAATAAATTGTAACTTGCCTATCGCTAACACAAATACATATAAATTACACTAATAAATTATTGAAATCAACAACTCAGCGAATGTGTACCTGATTATGAACTGGAAACTTCGAATAAATTTTGAAGATGAAAAGAATATGGAAATACGAAACTTTGAATTGATAACTGTTACCCATTTCAATCAGCTCAGTGCTTACTTTCCGGTATTTTCGCTTGGGAGTTCCGAATTGGTTAGCCATAGTTTATGAGACTAACTTTTATAAATTCGGTATAGAAAACAAAATACACTATACAAGTACAAGCTAATTTACTACCACATAACTCATAACAACTATCACAAACCAGAAACTATGTACATTTCTACAATCACCTCTATTAGTATTCACTATTTTTGCAACGAACGGTTCTATGTTATTCTTATTATAATTTTCAAAGTACCAGTCGTTGCCGCTTCTTTGAACATCTTCCTCGGATGCCATAATCAGCTCTTCCTCTTCTTTCTCTTCTTTAACTTTTTCTTCTGGTGGTAAATCCAATTCATCTGCAACTCCCAACTTCGAAAGCAGAGGAGCACTGGCGGAGTTGTGAGGGGAAGCTACCTTTGTGATTGTAGACTTCGCAGACGGCCTTACGTGTACAGACTGACCTGCAGGAACCAGGAACGTTGACAAGATTGACCCAGTTGAGTTCTCAACTAGTGTTGCTCCAGCTTTTATAACTTTCCTTGATTCAGTTGAGTTCTCAACTGGTGTTGCTCCAGCTTTTATAACTTTCCTTGATTCAGTTGAGTTCTCAACTGGTGTTGCCTCAGTTTTCATCTCTGGTCCGACATCTGTTGGAATGATTGGTCTAATTTTTGATCCGGTTGATACTTCTTCCGTGGTTTGAGTTGTATCATCTATCAACTGCAGGGATGTTCCAATTATTCCAGGCTCGTTAGTTACTGGAGTGTAAATTGTTGTGTCGTAAATTTCAATCTCGACTTCTTGAGAACTGCTGGGTAAAACGCGAGTCGTTGTAGTTTTTTTCACAGATGGAACGGTGGTTTCGGAAAATACAGGTCTCTGCACACTCTGCTCAGCTATCACATTCTTCTCTGTTCTGTTGATGGGTTGTTCAAGTACAACCCGTTTCTCAGTCTGATTAGATATTTTGACGTTCGCAATATTTTGCAAGTGGAAAGCAGTTTTGGTTAACTCATCAGAAACCAGCTGGCTCTTCATGCCCCGGTTATTGGATTTAGTACTGTTTGCAAATTGGATGAAGGAACTTTCGTTTGAAACTACCTCAGTCCTCTCTACATTGACTTTCCTCACCCCAGTATTGATTACCGCTCTTTGCATTGCCAGATTAGGATCAGGAATTGGTTTGAAACCTCCGTAAGCTGGCAACATTGGTAGAAAACCGCCCTGTAGCTCTGGTAGTAAAGATGCGGGTGAATTATTCGTTTGAAGCAAAGACTTCCTCTTCTCCTTCGTTGGCTGATTGACAATAGCAGCTTTTCTTTCCATTTTCGCCGGTGAGCGAGATGTGGCTCGCTTATTACCTCCAAAGAGGTTGCTGACGTTGAAGCTTGGGATTGGTAGACCGAAAAATGTAAAGCCGCTGGTACTCGGAGAATGGCTCACCTTCGGAGGGATCGATGGCTTGGGGTTCTTTGGAGCTGCGTATAATGTAGGGGTGTTACCTGAAGCAATAATTGCAACGATTTAGTCAAGAAATTTTGGAATGTGTGGAATGTTTTCCAATTCGACTTCGAAATTTGCTTCGGAAGCTAGTGGATGAGCTAGTTGGATAATTTACAGTGAGTTGGCAAATGGTGAGTTCGCGTTTTAGATCCAAATGGGGTGCTCCATCACTAGTTAAGACCGTAAACGTAATGCATATCAGCCATTTCCTCATTTGTGTATGCCATTTTAATAACAGGTGAATTATTAAAATAACAAATTAAGAACAGAACAACAACACACAATTAGTATTAGTTCAATTTCGAAAATTCATAAACTGACAGCGTCATACGAATTTAATTGTCACTATCGCTAATAGCGACCTACTAGATAGATTAGTTTCGTATTTTCGCATTTATGATTATGTACCTCTGTAGTTGTTCGTAAAATAATTTTTTGCTGCGAACTGGTTTATTTTGGGCAAAAAACCCAAGAGACATTTTTTGTTTAGAATGAAACAGGCTATAGAAAATAAATTTTCAAATGGTAAACAAAGGATAAGACAAAAAGTTACATTGGAAATACATTTTAGGGGTTGCGTTTTCCACCAAATAAATTTCTGGCTAAGCGTCTTTTTGGTCGTACAAAACGTCATGTTAATTTCAATATTGTAACTTCTTCAGTGCTTATGAAAAAATTGTTATACAAATTTTATGAACCCCCTTTAAGGGGCTGTATCTTAACAAAGTATGCTCCAATGAAATTTCTTTATATGAAAGATCCTATTTTTTTTTCGATGAGGAATCACTTCCTTAAATATTTTACACTTATTTAGTTACACCCTGTATATTATTTTGAAAAATGAGACGTATGTGTTGTTCGTCTTTTGCAACTGTTCTAATTATCACAAAGATGATTTTTCATCTTTCAGAAGTTAGGTTATGTTTCAATCCCGTTATCTTTTGTAAGAACTCAGGAATAATGAACAGTGTATGGTAAATAAAGTTGAGAGCTATTGTTGAGTTCTCAACAATAGCTGAGTAGCCCTGAATTACAATTAAGGTAATTAGTTAATTCTCCCTACCTGTTGTGTTATCATTTGTCGATTTTGTAGCCATCTGGAATCTTTCTAGAGAACTTGGCGTGCTTTGTTCTTTATCTTTTCCATTTCCTGACGCAGCAATGGTTTCGTTGAAAGGATAATCAATGTAGTCGTCGTAAAAATAATCGGAATCTTCGGGAGAAGGAGCTAAAAAGTTCTTATTTCCAGAACTGCCTTTGGAATTGCCATCCAGTGTGTTCTTGGAGAAGTTCTTGAAACTATACTTAGAATTAAATGAGATCTGAGAGGTGGAGTACAAATTTGGCCTATCCGAAAAACCTGCGCCACTCAGAAGTTCCGAGTCGCACTCATTTCGAATTTTTTTCGATCTTTCCGTGTCTGGGCAGTCTCTGGGGTCGAGTCTCATTTCTCGAAGGAAACTGCCGTCTGAACATTGGGGACCCTCTTGGGATGATTCTTTTAGCCAAGCTTGCAGCCAGAGCATACTGCAGGAACATAAAAGGGGGTTCCCTATAAAATGAACTCGAATGAGGCTTGTGAAACAAGAAATAACTGCTGCGTGTATGAAACATTCGTCTGGGAGATTGTTAACTAGTAACAGCTTCAGCTATTATTATCTAATCATTATTGTGTCAGCCGAAGAAGTAGTTGTTTTCCAGCAGGATACACCAGTTCTTGCAGCATAGGTAAGTTGAGAGAGATGCAAGTTTCGACATTATATTTCAAAATATTCATTGCATAAATCGTCATAATTATTGTTTAAATTATTGGGATAAGAATTAGGTCAACGTGATACTTTTTTATCAAACTTTATTGGTTTTTCTTACCTTCACAATCTGGAAAGTGTAATGATTGTAATGGGGAACTATATGTAGGTGTAGAAAAGGCTTTTATATCACCCTTATAAGTTACTGCGTAAATTCAAAGTATTTTTCACGAAGAAACTTGTTTTATTAATAATTTTGCCTATCAAAAAATTACTATGTGCGGAATACGCAACGGAAAATATTACTAATTTTTCAGAAGGTTCTGGTACAAGCAACCACGTAGCAAAACTCACCCTTCATGTCAATTTTTGCAACGTTACTCCTGAGTCTTTGAACAGCCATCTCGGGAATGTGCATAATTCTGTTATTCTCCATACTGAGAGCTCTCAGACGCAACATGTTGTCGAAAACGCCTTCCTCAACTTCGCAAATATCGTTGTTATCTATTCTCAACTCTACTAGCCACTCTAATCTCTTCAAATTATCTCTTTTCAGCCTGGAAATTTTATTGAAACTCAAGTCCAACAGCTCCACAGAGCTCAAGCCTGTCAAACCCACGTGGTCAAAGCTCTTCAGCTCGTTATGACTCAAATTCAGCAAAAGTAAGTAAGGTACCAGATTGAAGGCGTTTGGTTCGATATTCCTCAGCTTGTTCTGCTGCAGTTCTATACTTTGCAATGAAGGGAGGTTGTTGAAAGCCATGTTTGGCAGTTTAGTGATCCTATTTCTATCAAGTTTGATCGACTTTAGTGCTGGTAACATCTTCAGGGAGTTGGGCTCGACGTATTCAACTTCATTATCGTCCAAATGAATGTTCTTCAGTTGCTTCAGATTGGCGAAGGTATTTTCTTCGAGAAGCTTTATGAAATTTCTACTTAGTTTGAGCTCCCTTAAGCTCGTCAAGCTATTCAGGACAGTAGCGTTTATAGTTTTTATGCGATTACTCGATAAATTTAGGTTTTTCAAGCGTTTATGACCATACAAAGCTTGGGGAAACTGTACCAGTAGATTATGGGAGCTGTCCAATATTTCCAGGTTGTCAATGTTATCCAAAGTTCCAGGGAAAATTTCAGATAACTTGTTTCTGCTCACATTAACATTCTGGATGTTTTTACTACTGGTAAGCAAGTTGGGCCCTAAAAGGCTCACTTCGTTGTCAGCCATATTCAAGTGTCTGAGTGTCGCCAGGGCTTTCATTGATGCTGGATGGATCTGCACCAACCTGTTTCGGCTTAGGTCTAAGGTTTCAAGTTGGTTCAAACCATCGAATGAAGAATCTTCAAGGGTCTGCAGTAAGTTCGAACCTGTAAAAAATGAAGCCAATTTGTGAAAAGCTCATTTTTTTCTTGATTCTCAAGTGTTCTTGAGTTATCAATTGGGTAACTAAACTGACACAAGACTCTAAAAAAACAACTTTTCATATACTCACTCATATAAAGCCGCTTCAAATGCACCAAACCCTTCAACGACCCTCTCGGAATACTGTGTATCCTGTTAAACGACAAATCTAATAGTCTCAAAGCTGGCAAAACTAAATCTTGAATGGAAATCTTCGATATCTTATTATGATGCAGATGTAAATGCTCGATATTCCTCGGCAAATCCGTTACTAACATTTTTAAAAAGTTGTGACTCATATCTAGCTCATACAGCTGCGTGAGATGTCTGAACGTCACGTGATGTACATTCTTCAGGTTGTTGAAAGAAACGTTGATATGCTCGAGAAAGGGAGTGGGTTGAAACACTTCAGGATGCAAGAAACTCATCTCGTTGTGGCTTGCATCTATTCGTCTTAGAGATCCTACGTTTGCGAGAAACCTAGGCTCCAGCCTTCTGAAGATGTTTTTACTGAGATCCAACCCTTTCAGTGACGGCAGGTTCCAAAAAGGTGTTTCCAAAAGGTCAGTCAGCGAGTTGTTCTTCAGTCCGAGTTCTCTAAGAGCTGGCATCAGTAGAAATGCCTCTTTGTCAATGCCACGCAGCAGGTTATAACCCAAATTCAGCTGTTCAAGAGTTGGATGGCCTCTCAAAGCCCCAAAAGGTATCGATCTCAACCTGTTGTAGCTCATGTCTAGGAACACCAGTCTCGGCAATCCATCAAGAATCGAACGAAGCTCCATAATGTTACTGACATCATTGTACATTATCAAAAGCTCCTCTACCATGCTCTCTGAAGGGTGCAGGAAGCTCCTGGGATGGAAGTGCCTCAGCATGTTTCGAGTCAGATCTAAACTGCGAAGAGCTGGCAATCTGTGGAAGGCACCGTACTCGATTTCCTTGATGAAGTTGTTCGATAAGTGGATCTTCTTCACAGATGGAAGGTCAACAAATGTTGCTTCTGCGAGCCGCTGCACTTGATTGTGGTCTAGTCTGCGAAAATTAGTTTCATAATGGGCAAATGTATGTAACTATATGATGTAATGAATGGGAAATTAGCAAAAGAAATGATTTTACAACAGTCTTTATTTCAAGAATGTAAACCTACTGTGGTAGACATTGTCAAGGGCGGTGAATTAACAGTCGAAGTGCCTGACAGAATTTGGAATCTTAACTTTCAGAATTCATGAAGTTTTAATGTGCTTTGTGAAAAAAGAATTAAGTTATACGTTCAATTTAACAATAAAAATTTGAATCTGACATATACAGATACTTTCTTCTTCTGTGAAATGTGTTCATATAAAAATTATACCAAAAAAAGTGTCTGTTATGAATTATGATTCAATTTCAGTTGTGATCAGAAATATGGTGGATTCAAGGTGGAAACAATAATTGAGATATGAATAGTAAATTACAAACTGCAGCAAAAATGGACCAGATTGAAATAAAGCTGGAAAAAGAACTGATTGTTCAAAATTGAACTTTACTGATATTGGGGATATATGCCAAATTGTATCTAATCTAACCTGATTATTTCCAGTTGCGGTAAATCTCGACTAGCCCTGCCTACTAATCCGGCATCAGTGAACTTATTTCCAACCAAAGACAGTTCTACTAAACTGGGAAGTCTTCTCATTGCTCTAGGATGTAACCAGTTGAGACCGCAATTCGTAATATTGATGAGATCAAGTTTTGGAAGATCATCGAACAGATTAGCCTCAAGCCTGGTCAGCCTAGGGCTGGATACAATGTGCAGCTTTTCCAAAGAAGGATTATCTTTGAAGTTGGCTGATGATATCTCCAGCAGAGAGTTCGACTCAACGTGGATGTACTTCAATTTAGGAAGCCCCGAGAATATTGGTAAACGCTTCATAGATTTGGATTGTATAGTGACAGCTCGAAGATTCTTCATGAGCGAGAGGGATGATTCTGGCACACTGGAGAGTTGCGGTTCCACGATGAAAATTTCCATTATGCTCGATTCAAGACCAGCTAGCCAATCGGTTGACACTCTTTCGAGGCTGTTGTGACGTAGCATCAATCGGAGCACTTTGAGTGGGGCAAATGATCTTCCTGGTAGGGAAGGGAGGAAGTTATTCTCCAAGATCAGTTCGTCTATGGGATCTGATATATACCGACCTAGGGATTTTAGACCTTCTAGTATGTTCGGTAAGCTGCTGTGGGAGCACCTGTAAGTGAATAATAATGTTTGAGGAGACCTGGAAGTGTAACTTTCAATTCATGTACCCTTTTCTATGGAAATGGCAGAGATTGGGTAAAACTGAAACAACTAAAAAAGAAGAATTAAAAACGAATAGCTGAAAATAACAATTACATTAACCAAAATAAACCTGAGATGAAATAATAGTGATATTAAACACAAGTAAAAAGAGAACAATTGAATAAATAAAAATAAAGAAATGAAAAAAGAAAATAAAAATAGAAAGTGGAGAGATTCCAAGTCACGTTAGTTCAGGACGTTTCGATTGTTAGCATCTACAATCGTCTTCGGGTGATGACTGGACTGATTCCTGAATGAATGAATGAAAATCGTTTATTCAAATTTTGTTGAATAATAACATTTCATTAGTTGGGTAAGTTTGTGTGGGGCCCTGCTATAGGCTAATGCCTCTTCAGGGTAGACTGATTCCTCCGAGAGATGACTATTTATAGGTCGTTCGAGTACTTTCACTTATCCCCGCTTTCCATTTTCCGCTTCACTGGTTCCGTGGGAGATGACCGTTTGGCGGGAGTTGGCCATTTTTCGCTTGATGAAGGAAAAGTACAAGTTTTCGATGAACAATGATACTGTCTATTCATTTTTCAAAATAAATTTCCCGTGTACTTACCATATCTGAAAATCCTGATCCTTCACCAAACACCGACAAGGCAAAATGGTATCCAAGGACGGACATTTCCTTTCCTGGCTGTTGACTTCTCTCCATATATTCGTTAGCAGTAACAGAAGAATAACTTTTTTAAAACCGATCATTTTGACGTTTCATTTTTGATGAATAACACAGTGATGATTTCCTACCAGGCGAAAGGATTAGTCAGAATGGAATCCAAGTAAGGAGTTTTACTTTTCATTGTTTCTTCATTCGAGAAGTGGTACTTTACTGAAAATTATACAAAATTTTCAAATAAGTATATTGAATTTAAATGGAAATGGAGAGCCGAATTCTTCAGCAAACGGTGTTTGCTAATGAGTGAACCATTAGTGAACCCTGAATCGGCTACGGAGATACCAACATTTCTGGTACGAAACCAGATCAAGAATTGGATCAATGAGAAATAGAGAATACCGGTTAAATATGTTCAAGCATCCATGCTAACACAGTTATTGGGGGATCTTATGCAGAGTAAGGATCATCACAGGGCTACTCACACTGGATATTGTAATGGATGTATAATGGATACCTCGGATGTAGGCCATACAATAGGGTGAAGATGGGCCTTAAGTGTCAAGTCAATTATATTCAAGCAAAATTATGATCAAAAGAATATGAAAAACGTATAATCAAAAACTAAAAAAATCTTTACATGCCAGAAATGAACAAGTTTAGGGGCTCCAAAGCAGCAATAAAAAGGAGAGAATATCGTTATATCATTGCTTTTTTTGAACATAATCTACTAGGACGAGTTTAGGGGCTCCAAAGCAGCAATAAAAAGGAGAGAATATCGTTATATCATTGCTTTTTTTGAACAGAATCTACTAGGACAAGTTTAGGGGCTCCAAAGCAGCAATAAAAAGGAGAGAATATCGTTAAATCTTTGCTTTTTTTGAACATATTCTACTAGGACAAGTTTAGGGGTTCCAAAGCAGCAATAAAAAGGAGAGGATATCGTTATATCATTGCTTTTTTGAACATAATCTACTAGGACAAGTTTAGGGGCTTCAAAGCAGCAATAAAAAGGAGAGAATATCGTTAAATCTTTGCTTTTTTTGAACAGAATCTACTAGGACAAGTTTAGGGGTTCCAAAGCAGCAATAAAAAGGACAGGATATCGTTATATTATTGCTTTTTTGAACATAATCTACTAGGACAAGTTTAGGGGCTCCAAAGCAGCAATAAAAAGGAGAGAATATCGTTATATCACTGGTTTTTTTTTGAACAGAATCTACTAGGACAAGTTTAGGGGCTCCAAAGCAGCAATAAAAAGAATAGAATATCGTTAAATCTTTGCTTTTTTTGAACAGAATCTACTAGGACAAGATTAGGGGCTCCAAAGCAGCAATAAAAAGGAGAGAATATCGTTATATCATTGTTTTTTTGAACATATTCTACTTCTACTAGGACAAGTTTAGGGGTTCCAAAGCAGCAATAAAAAGGAGAGAATATTGTTAAATCTTTGCTTTTTTTGAACATAATCTACTAGAACAATGACAAGTTTAGTGGTTCCAAAGCAGCAATAAAAAGGAGAGAATATCGTTATATCATTGTTTTTTTTTAACATAATCTACTAGGACAAGTTAGGGACTCCAAGGCAGCAATAAAAAGGAAAGAATATCGTTAAATCTTTGCTTTTTTGAACATAATCTACTAGGACAAGTTTAGGGGCTCCAAAGCAGCAATAAAAAGGAGAGAATATTGTTAAATCTTTGCTTTTTTTGAACATAATCTACTAGAACAAGTTTAGGGGCTCCAAAGCAGCAATAAAAAGTAGAGAATATCGTTATATAATTGCTTTTCTTGCACATAATTTACTAGGATTTCAAGAGAAATCACGTTCATCTGTTTGCAATTAAGGTTATGTAATAGTTTAGTATTCCTACTCAATATTTAGTAATTTCTCAAAAACAACCAATGGAAATAAAATGGTTTTATTCTCGAAAGAATTTCAATAAAAATATCGACGGTTGATTATGACTTACCGAAAATGTATAATTCCTTTCCTTCTGGTATCAATGACCAACAGGAACCGACTACCAAAACGAACCGCCAAATAGTAGTTATTTTCTCCAAGGCACGCAAAAACACCGGATACCTAACAAGAAAGTTTAGGTAATTGTAAGCACCGAAGACTGGCGTAAACAATAAGAGAGAGTAAAACACTGAAAGTTTCTAAAGAAGAATCGCATTTCGAGCCAAAGTCACACTCTGGTAATCACCTATAAGAGGATCATCGAAAATACTCCGTACGGTGTTACGCCATCATAGGTGTTTTAATGAGTATATTGCAAAGTCGGTGAATGGGTCGAATTAGATAAGGGTACGCAATACTCCTGCTGGTCTTCGTTGTCTTCAGGATGATCGATGACTTCCTAGATGCCTGAAGAACTGATTTAACGAAGTTGGGACTAGCTCAGAACAATCACGGGGCTACAAACCGGGCACTGTTCGTTGAGAGGACACCTGAACAAAATAGGATTGTATAACAGAGGCTTCAGCAGCAGGCAATGCAGCAAAAGGACAGAACTCATCATGTACGAAGGGGGAATCCTTGGATACCCCATAATTTATCAATCGTTAAAAAAAGCTCGCGTCAAGTGGTGCGAGGAAATTTTTAAAAAGTTCGACCGTCATGCTTCAAAAGACGAGTACAAAATTGTGACAGGTGATGAATCATGGACATATACGTATGAGCCGGAAACAAAATAGCAATCGACCGTGTGGGTATTCAAGACGAGCTCAATCCAACAAAAGATGTTCGTGACATTGGCACAGAGAAGCAAATGGTCGCCTCTTTCTTCGGCCGAATGGGTCATGTGGCTACTTTTCCACTTAAGCAACGTAGAACGGTCAATTCTGAGTGGTACACTACCAGTTATTTGCCGGAAGTCTTCAGAGGAATTCATAAAACCAACCGCTGAGGACGAACCATTCTCCATCATGACAATGCGAGCTCTCACAAATCTTTTCAAACAGGTGAGTTTTTGAGCGGCAAAACATCGAAAGATGTTTTCTCTGAATTGAAAATCAACAAATGTGTCTTGAAGAAATCAAATCTGTTTCGTTTTCGATGCTGCACATAAGTATTTTTTGAGTGAAATCTGGATTGAGTGAGTAATAGGAGGTACAGATTGTTGTAAGAACTAGAATAGATTGTCAAGGAGCTATCCCATGGCCTGATTCACTGCGAGCTTTTCAGATTTATTGTGATGCTCCTTAGTTGTTAGAGCTCAAGGTCTAGCTTGATGTCTTTGATGAGACTCCATAGCCTTGACACTGACACCTTCATATAGCTGGCAGCTCTGGTTTCCCGCATCTTGCGTGTCTCAGCCTTGTTATTTCCTCGCATTCCAGAGCACATGCAGTGCGGTTTCTTCCTCTTCTTGACAGAACCTGAATTGGGTTTTTTCTGTCAGATCCATGTTTCTGATATGTTTCTTGGCTACGCCTCGTTAGTAGACCCACTACTACCTTTACAACTTTACGGTTGTGGTTTAGCAGGTCTTCCGTGAATCTAGGCGAAATTTTCTCTATGAACTCCTATCACCTGCCACATTCCTGGGAGCTTATTCCACCAATATATCGATTCGACTTGCATCCATGAATTTATGGATGTCTTTATACATGCTTTCGTTACCCCGCAGAAAGGTTCTGGGCCGATCATAGCCTTGGCTGTGCCTTCACGGGCTAGAACATCGTCTTCGTCATCACCCTTGGAACCCTCAAGTCTGGGTACCCAAGCTAGAGTGGCCCTATTTTGGGTACTTAACTCCTTGGGTTCGCACATACAGCTTCCTACCAGTCTTGAGAATACTTTAAATGAACTTAGAGTTAGAGTCAGAAATGCTTCATTGTCATAAAAGTTTAGGTTTTGTTGACAAAGCAGGCTTAAGAACTAAAACAATCGGAAACATTAAGATAAAGGTCAAAAATTTAAATCAAGGTATTAATATGGCTCAAGCACACTTCAAAAAGTTTATGGTAAAAGTCTGTGATAAAAAATTTTATATGTTGACAAAACAGGCTTAAAAACTAAAACTTGCTGAGCAAGAACTGCATAGAATGTACAAACTCGACACTTTCAGATTATTCATTTTAGCCGAAAACCTACAGTTTGTAAAAAACTTATTAAAAGATTAGTTACCGTTTTTGCAGGCTTTGTTCAACCCATAGAAATCTACAGGGTGGTCGAGTGTACCAATTTAATCGAAATTAAATGACCTCATGCATTTATTTTTATGATATTTAGTATGTTATAAAAATATCCCTAAACTTTTCCGATGTGTGTATTTATAGCTTCTGCTAAGATACAGTGTTTATCAGTTTAAGGAAAATTTCAAGTGAGAGATCATCCCATCCTGAAGAGTTCTTATTTTTTATGCTAGAGAGGATTTCTTTCATTTAATTTCCAGAGGTTGTGGAATAGTTGAATGAGTTAAATATGGGTACATGCCTAAGGTAACTCATTGGGTTCTCATTTGTTGATATATTTTTTGCTATTCTTTGAGCAATGGAACAGAAGTAAGTGTTTAATTCGTTTGAACTCGGTTCAATCTCAACAAAAGATTTTTTGCTTTTTCCTCTTGATTCGTTAACAATTTTCCATGTTTCCTGCTGTTTATTATTTGCATTTGATATTCGATTGCTGTAATAAGTTGTTTTCGCATTTTTTTATGTTATAGTAGGTGATGAAGAGAACATGATCACTGAAATATTTGCGAATATAGTGGAGACACCTCAAATTTTTAGTTGAAACTTTTATGCCTTTGTCATCCAAGCCTTCTTTTTTTTTTGACTTCAAAAATCATCGGCACTGGACTGAACTGCATTCACGAAAATTTTCTCTAAGAAAAAGGTATGTAAACTAGTAACAGCTCCATCTCGTGAACTAAGCCCTGGCGGGGAAGAAACATCTCATGTATAGTCTATAAGAAGTCAATCCGAACAGATAAAGAAAAGACTAATGTACAGGGTCTGATAAATACCATATAAAACCTTCTACATTCGGTAACTATTTGGTTTTTATGCCATTAGAGTTGACTTCGTATATACTATACCAATACTCTTAACAGAAATCAAAATATGGCTGATGAGGAAAGATTGATGTGCTCACGTCTTTGATCAAATAGATCATTACACTTTTTAGGCAAAATTACATGGGATCAATGAATTTCCCAATACTATTTCTCATATCATATATGTGTGACAGAGAGCAGTTTGTAAAATA